TACATTGGTGTTATATCACCTTCAAGTAATGAAGTTGGTCCTTTCAAATCTATTGAAGAATCAATGATAGCTCACTTGACCCCACATAATAAAAGACCAGAAGTTTATGCAGTTCACTCTCTAGTAGGTACTGTAGGGGGTGCTCTTGGCGCTATTTGTTGTGGTACATTTTTAAGCTTTATTAAAAGCCGTAATTTTGTTGAAGATGATCTTCAAGCTTATAAATTAGTATTTTTAATATATGCTTTTATTGCATTTTTAAAAGTTATTGTAATGTTACTATTATCAGAAAAAACTGAGTTAAACGGTCACCTACATGAAGAGTTAAGTTCAACTGAGGCTATAATAAATGATGAATTGGCTCCGCTAATTGAAGAAACTGAACATTCAAATGAAAATAAAAATGCTTTATCGAAGGAAGCAAAATCTGTGCTTTACAAATTATTATTGGTCTTTATGATCGATTCATTGGGTATGGGTTTCATGACAGATGGCTGGATGGTTTACTATTATTCAAATGTATTCTCAATGAGTTCTTTTGCATTAGGTGCTGTGTTTTTCACAACTCAATTCGTTATGGCGTCATCAACATTACCGTCATCTGCTATTACAAAACGTTTCGGTCCTGTAAAATCTATTTTAATGGTCCAAATACCTTCTGCCGTTTTCGAAATTTTTATTCCATTCTGTGAATCTCATTTATCGTTATCATTATTGTTTTTAAATTTGTTTTTTGCTACAATGGCTATGGACGTCACACCAAGACAAATTCTATTAACAAATATTATCAGACCTTCAGATTTAACAAGAGTAATGGGTATAGTAAATATTGGTAAGACATTCTCTCGTTGTATTGGTCCAATTTTTACAGGTATATTGGCCAGCAACGGTTTATTATGGTCATGCTTTATCATCAGCGGTTTTGCTGTTATTTTAGCAGACTTAATTTTGGCATTCTTTTTTTTGAAAATTGATTCAAAGTTATTGAGACAACTTTCATAGAAAGAGTTAAATATTTAGGAACATTATCTAATTAAGTAACAAAATGTAGTATTTTAGAGTATTCGTATCATTTTTTTTATATGACTTAGGAAAATTAGATAGTCTTCATCATGCAAAAGTTCTACTATGCCAAAATTTATTCTATATTTTATAATTTATGCTTCACATTCTACATAGCAGGTATATTTTTTTTTATAATTTTTACAGACACATTTAAATAGTTATATGTTTCAATTGTTTTAATTTTGCTCCAATATTCCATATCACATATCCCCTTAGGATCCAAGATTTTGCTTTAATTTTAAGATAAAGACTTGTATTGTATAGAAATAAATATTATATTATGGAAAAAAAATACTTGAGAAAAGTTAATAGGTATGACCGTAATATTATATTAATGATATAAGATGTAAACAAAGTGTACAAATATAAAAGAAAGCTTTTTGAAATTGGATATATAATAATACGAATGCTTAACGGTTAGATTTAGCAACACGTTCCAATTCATCCTTCTTCTTGATAGCGTAAGAAGTAGAAGAACCCTTAGCAGCATTGATCAATTCTTCAGCTAAAGTTTCAGCAATAGTCTTGATGTTTCTGAAAGCAGCTTCTCTAGCACCAATGGTCAACAAGGAGATAGCTTGGTTAATTCTTCTCAATGGAGAAACATCAACGGCTTGACGTCTAGCAGCACCACCACCACCAACTCTGGTAGTGTCTTCTCTTGGACCGGTGTTGGTGATAGCATCAACAACAACTTGTAATGGGTTTTGATCAGTCAAGACAGAGATGATTTCCAAAGTGTGCTTGATGATTCTAACAGCCTTCAACTTCTTACCGTTGTTTCTACCGTTCATCATCAAGGAGTTGGTCAATCTTTCAACGATTGGACATTGAGCCTTTCTGAATCTCTTGTTGGCGTATCTACCAGCAGTGTGGGCAACAAAGATTGGTTGTCTGATTTGGATGTAATCAACTAAAGAAGCATCTTTAACTTCAACATCTTCAAAGGACCATTTGTTGAACAATTTGATTTCGTATTGAGCTCTTTGAACTTCTTCTGGAATAGCAGTAGCTAATTCAACTGGAGTAAATTCTTCAATAACTTCGAATTCTTCTTGAACAGGATTTTCAGTATCAGACATCTTCGGTGGTATTGCCCTTGTTAATTCTATAGCTATCTTCCTCTTATACAATCAGCAAAAGCTTTTGAACCTTATATACTATCTACACAACAGTATCAATTCTCAAATACCTATCTATTATTGAAATTAGATTTTGACCATTCACCAAGAATAACAAAATCCTAACAAACTACTTGCTCTATCTCTATCAATGCTATCCTATTCATTCTGTGTAAAAGACAAGAAACAATCCAATATTCATACTTACAATTATCAAGAAACTGTACACTTACGAAACAATTCCTGTAGCCACAACCAGAAACTAATAGTATATTCTCAGTAACCAAAACCAAACCAAACCAAACCCATTAGAGAAAAGTTTCATTATTCCATCCATCATCGATTGCTGGGTGACATCAAAAAAGTTTCAACAAGATCAAAAACGGTTTGGTTGTTTGAGTTGTTTGAGTTGTTTGTGGAAAGGACGTTAACTAAGTTCCCAAATTTGCTTAATGGGAGATTGTATTACAAAGAGATTGTTAGACAGACAGACCGAAATTTGGGAGGTATCTTCCTTCTAAATGGGCCCATCTAGACAGAGCAACTGTTGAATGAAACCTGCCTAGACTTGGGCCGAATCTAAACACTTAGGCAGATAGAGAGAGGATGATGCCGAAATGATTGGAAAAGTTGTGTTTTATTTGACCATTGGATTTTGGAGTGTTTGATTTAGGTTCAGTAACATCTAATAATGATGCGTACAAAAGGTCAAGGAAATGTTACTTTCCTAGTTACTTTCAATTCAAGAAGACGGTACAAATTTTACAATTTTCAAGAGAAAACCCGCATGGTATGCGCATAATACAAATTTTGTCGGCCTTTGATATGAGATGGTAAAAGAATAAAGCAAAAAAACTAATCATCGGGTTTTCGAAGAAAAAAAAAACTAAAATAAAAAATGTATGAAAATGTACGGATGCAATTGCAGTTAATAGTCACTTTAATTATTGTTCACGTGTTGAACTGGAAATCTACAAATGTCACAAAAGACACATTACACCAAATAGACAGTAAGTTCTATTTTCATTATTACAGACCTTAACAATGTATTTTTCTTTTTATGTAAGTATATGAATATATTTGTTCTTGATAAGTGTGATTTGTGGAATTGGTGGAAAGAATGGTTAAATTTTAATTTTTCTCTTCCCAAGTTTCATACCAGAATGGCTTCCTAGGGATAACTTTAATTGTTTTAGTTTCTGAATCCGATATTTTACTTTCTATACGAATAAACATATTATTGTTCAGATTGCCCTGGTTTTTAAATATCGAATTCAGATACTCTGTTCTGATTATCGCCACACCATTTTCCCCTTCATTGCATATTAAAGTTCCAATTGGTCTCTGACGTCTTGAAAAAGCTTGATTAGAGAATGGATTATTTATTTCAGTTGCTTCGTTCTTTACTGAGATTGGTGTTTGTAATGTTATATCATAATAATTCGTGGCAGTGTCTTCATTATCCTTAAGGTTTTGGTAATTTTCTAGTTTTACCGGAATTAGTCTTTTACGAAGAATACCTGTTGAAAACATCCTTGTTGTAATTTCTTGACCTAAATAACATCCCTTATCTGGATTCACACTATTTAAGAAGAAATCAAAGTTCAATTCCAATGGCCAAATGGTTTCGCTACGAAAATCTCTGACACTATCAATTATGCCATTTTTTAACCTATAACTTCTAAATTCATTGGGGCTGACATTTTCGATTTTAAAAGGGAATGGGAATGAATTAAAATTAAAATGTTCAGATATGTCGTTTATATCAGAATTGGTGATAATTCGAAGCAATTGTGGGGAATTGCTATCTTTATCTTGTAATAATTCAAATCTTTTATCTATATAACAAGCTAAAATACTGTCAATTACTTCCCCTTGGAATAAAAATCTCATCATACTTTCAGATAATTGATTCGAAATATCAGACGTCTTTGAAGTAGATATTGGTTCATGAATGTTCTCTACCCATGGATTTGGAGACGTTTGGGACACTTTAGGAAGCTTAATTGAAATATCCCATACTTTATAGTTTGATGCCTTCAATTTTTTATATTTGATCTTACTGTTTAATTTATGTATATCAAAAATTTCAAGGACATCATCGACAATTGAATTATCAAACTCCAATAGATAAATGGGGTAATTCTTTCCTCCAACCGGAGTTTTATCAAAAATTAAAGGTGTTGGATATATTATAGTATCTGTAATCAACTTCCCTTTACTATTTAATAGACCTGTGTAAACACCAAATCTTGAGATATATGGACCATTTGCACTAACTTCATTATAAATTCCCCAATTGTCATGAGATTCATCAAATCGAACTATTTCACCATTGCCTAGTTCTTTTAAGGTATCAGAATTTGGTGAGATTGTCGTTAAATTCTTTTTGACAAATTTAGGTAATAGTTTAGCAGTCACTAACCCATTCAAAAATTTAGGAGCCTCTGGACCAATTATTTTTATATAAGCCTTGTTTGATATCTCAGAATATCTAAAACATGCTTGTGTCTCTGTAAGATCAGAATTCAGTGCGGTTGAGGTAGAACCAAATCTTACAAAACTTTTCCCCAGGCCAACATAAGGTATTAATAAAGAATGTCTTAAATGATTGCTCACCCTAATAGATCGCATCAGCATGGCTATACTGCAGTATAAATTTCTAAATTAATATACTATAACCATAATCTTTACAGAAACACTTCAAACATTGCTATTTTAAGCTTAAGCGTAACATAATACTTCCTTTAATCATATTATAAGAATTATTCAATATCACGTGATAACAGTGATTTGTCAAAAACACTCAATAATGGTAGTTTCCGAATCTCTCCAAGAGACAGCTTCTGGCTGGAGGATGCTATATGTCGATTTGGCACAATTAGTTGAATGTAAAAATGAATTATATATATAAGATACTATGATATTTACTTGAATTCATTATATTTTATAGCCTAAATAAATTGGAGTGACATTATGAATGAGAATAAAAATTGGAATTAGAGATAATTCCAGATCATTAACAAAAAGAATATGAAAAAAGGGTGCACAATGTCTATTTAGCTTCAGCAGCTAATTTTTCAGCCTTGGCAACGACGTCCTCAATACCACCAACCATATAGAAGGCATTTTCTGGTAAGTGATCGTATTTACCTTCTAAGACAGCCTTGAAAGAAGAGATAGTATCCTTTAATCTAACTAACTTACCTGGAATACCGGTGAAAACTTCGGCGACAGCAAATGGTTGGGACAAGAATCTTTGAATCTTTCTTGCTCTTTCGACAGTGATCTTATCTTGTTCAGATAATTCATCCATACCCAAAATAGCAATGATATCTTGCAAAGACTTGTAAGCTTGCAAAGTTTCTTGGACTCTAGTTGCAACGTCGTAATGTTCTTGACCAACAACAGCAGCATCCAACAATCTAGATTTAGAATCCAATGGATCGACGGCTGGGTAGATACCCAATTCGGAGATACCTCTGGACAAGACAGTAGTAGCATCCAAATGTGCGAAAGTAGTAGCTGGAGCAGGATCTGTTAAATCATCGGCTGGGACGTAAACGGCTTGAACAGATGTGACAGAACCCTTCTTAGTAGTAGTAATTCTTTCTTGTAATAAACCCATATCGGTGGCCAAAGTTGGTTGATAACCGACAGCAGATGGGATACGACCTAACAAAGCAGAGACTTCAGAACCGGCTTGGGTGAATCTGAAAATATTATCAATAAATAACAAGACATCTTGACCTTCTTCATCTCTGAAGTATTCAGCAATAGTCAAACCAGTCAAAGCAACTCTAGCTCTGGCACCAGGTGGTTCGTTCATTTGACCGAAGACCAAAGCGACCTTAGAGTCACCTTCTAGGTTAATAACACCAGTTTCTCTCATTTCACGGTACAAATCGTTACCTTCTCTGGTTCTTTCACCAACACCAGTGAAGACAGAGAAACCACCATGAGCCTTAGCGATGTTGTTAATCAATTCTTGGATAAAGACAGTTTTACCGACACCAGCACCACCGAACAAACCAATCTTACCACCTCTAGCGTAAGGAGCTAACAAATCAACAACCTTAATACCAGTTTCCAAAACTTCAGCTTCAGTAGATTGTTCAACAAAGGAAGGAGGTTCAGCATGGATTGGCTTTCTCAACTTGGAGTTAATTGGACCTCTTTCATCAATTGGTTCACCAATGACATTAATAATTCTACCTAAAGTTTCTCTACCGACAGGAACAGAGATTGGAGCACCAGTGTCAATAACGTTTTCACCACGGACCAAACCTTCAGTACCATCCATCGCAATAGTTCTGACAGTGTTTTCACCTAAATGTTGAGAGACTTCCAAAACCAATTTACCATTTGGAGTTTGAATTTCCAAAGCATTCAAAATAGCAGGTAAGTTTTCTTGTTCGAATTGAACATCAACAATAGCACCAATGACAGCTCTGACTTTACCAACCAAAGGAGCACCAGTGGTAGCCATTGATCTTAATTGAATATTACGTGTTACTGCATTTAAGGCAGTGCGTGAGCCTGCAATTGAATACAATCTTGGCACAACCATTATTATTTGTTTTAGTATCTATATAGATCTTGACCTTCTGTTTAATATAGATTCCTTCAATGTAAACTATATGAAATCCACAATTTTAAATAATATATATCAGGTTTTCTTTATAGTTACTTTAAGCAATTATATTGACGGGGGGTTGCGTGGGGAAATAGGGTGAAGGGAACAAGTTAAAAAGATAGTGTGAAGTAGCAAATACAATGCAAATTATATAATTAATCAAGAATAATACAAATTATCTAAATAGCAATCCTCCCCATCCTTCAAAATTTAATAAAGGCAACAATAACAAACTGCCAATAAATATAATTCGAATTTATAGTATTCCCTATGGTTCAAGATCTAACTCCAATCCAATGGGTGGATAAATTATCATTGAACCATTAATAGTGTTTTCTCAGTAAATAACACTAACGTAAAGCATATAAACTTACATCAAATTTACAAAGATACCATCGTACAAACCTTCGAAATAGAAAAAACTTTCAATCGAAATGTACAAACTGATTGGTTAAAGCCAAAAAAGGAGATGGTCGCATTTCGTATTATATGATTATATATTTGACAAAAAAATGACAGGAAAAAGAACCGTGCGTCAGTAAACCGGAACTTAATTTGTGACGCTGGTCGTTGAAGCAACTCGCCCACTACAAAAAGGTAATGATGAGAAAGTAAAAGCCAATAAGTACAAAAAAGTGAGTATTGTAGTATCATCTATATTTACTGACTGTTCGTTTTCGAGTAAGAGGTTATAATAGCCTCTGTTGAATAAATTTTGTGCAACTTGTATACCATTATGGTCTATCATTAGTGGATCCTTCCACCTACAAGTTTTGTCGTTTTTTTTTATGGCGTGGTTGTCTTCTTTGATCCTCTCCGCTCGTTGACTAGGCAACTACTACTACAACCACCACCATCATCACCATCCACCCCCCCTTATCATCTTCGTATTTGCGGTGTGCCTGATGGGATTTGGAATCGTTCATTGTATGTGCATGTAATGTATGCATTTTCAAATTGTATAGCTGAAGTAATTTCTTTTCATATACTTTGTACTGTTGGCAAATATATCCATGATAGCAAAAGAAAGGAACAAATTTGGAATCCGTCGTCAATTTTACTGGGTTTCGTATTGAACTGGTCTTCATCTGTCATTTATTTATAGATATATCCAATATATATAAAGAACGATATATATATGTGTGTGTGTATATGTATGTGTATGTATATATATATGTGTGTATCTATGTCTGTATGTATGATAATAAAACCAGCCTGTCGTGGGATTCCCCCCCAATATTCTCGAATTAGATACCCTAGTTAGTTTCGTGCCAAAAAAGTTTTTGGTCACATCATCGAGACGTTTATATATTAACGTATACCAGTTGTCAACAGATTGATCATGGAAGAAATACCATCGTTATATCCTTCTTTGGAGGAATTTAGTAATCCTATTGAATATCTGTCCCAGCCGAAAATTCAAAGGATAGGTCATAAATATGGTATGGTAAAGTTGGTATCCCCCGAAGGATTTAATCCACCTTTATCTTTGAATCAAAAGAATTTTAAATTCAAAGTTAGAATGCAAAAATTATCTCAATTAAATTTGGTTAATAGGAACAGATTATTTTTTTGGAAACAACTAAATAACTTCTATAAAAATGAATCCATGAAGCTCATTTTGAGCCACCCTTACGTCAAAACAGTTTCAGATATTGATAATACTAGTGTTGAAATTTATCTGTATGATATTTTCGTTGCAATAATAAAGCATTTTAATAATTCAAATCAAATCGAGAACACAAATGTAAGGAAAAGGAGAAGGACCAAATCTCTAATTGAAAATAATATTTGGAATCATGTAGGGATTAAACTACGTTCTTTGAAAGAAATTTTAAATGAGAACTCGTTATGGAGAAAGTTGTCAATAAAACTGAATATTTCAACAGGGCAATCCTTAAACATATTCAATAAGTACATTTCAAAATATTACCAATACCTGTATTCGAAAACAGTAAACCATAATGGTAAATGTCTGAGAGATATACTATATGAAGATAATGATCCATCTTCCTTATTGAATGAAGATTCTGATGAATTTGAAATCAAATCAGATTCAGATAGTGACGGTGAGCAATACGATGAAGGACAAGAAGATGAAGAGGATGAGGATGAGGAGGAAACTGTATGTCCCTTATGTGGACAATTATCAGATACAGATGACTATATAGAGTGTTCATGTTGTTATAATTCATTTCACCAAAATTGTTTGGATACTAATGATAAGTTGGCTAAAAAAGATTGGATATGCAGTAATTGTATTATTGGTACCGGTTACTATGGCTTCAAAGAAGAATCACATTTATACACATTAGATGAGTTCAAAGAATACTGTAAAGAACAGGAATCAATACTGAATAGGAATAATTCAAGAATAAAAAATGACCCAAAAAGCAGAGAATCCATTGAAGATCTAGAAAAGGAATTTTGGAGTCATGTAAATGATATGACTGATACACTAGTTGCCAAATATGGTGCTGATGTTCATAATAGTCGTAAAGGAGAAATATCAGGCTTTCCTACAAAGGATTATATACCGCCATTTTTGAAAACTGATGAAGAATTGGAAAAGTACTTAGAATACGTATCACATCCTATGAATTTAATCAATTTACCAAGAGCAGAGGGTTCGTTATTACCTGTTTTTGGTAAAAGAATATCAGGAATGACGGTTCCCTGGATATATGTTGGGTCTAAGTTTTCAACCTTCTGCTGGCATTTAGAAGATCAATATACACTAAGCGCCAACTACCAACATGAGGGTGCTCCAAAAGTATGGTACAGTATTCCTGAATATTCTTGTGATTCATTAAGGTCCTATTTGGTTAGTCTAAGTCCAGATTTATTTGATAAGCAGCCAGATTTAATGCATCAGTTAGTAACTTTGGTTTCTCCTTATGATACTGATTTCCAGAAACAAGATATCACATGTTTCAAAGCAGTTCAATACCCAAACGAATATATTATAACTTTTCCAAAATGCTATCACGCAGGATTTAATTCTGGTTATAATTTAAACGAAGCAGTAAACTTTACGATTGATTCATGGGTTCCATATGGGGTAGAGGCAATACAAGATTACAGATTTACCAAAAGGCAGTGTGTATTTGATATGTTTGAATTGATGACTAACATATTAGTGGAATACCAAGATAATACAACAGTTTTTGACGATGCTTTAGCTAGACAATGCTATACAGAATTATTAGAAATGTTTAATAATGAGCAGAAATTGTTAAAGGGAATTTCTTCTATTATTAAAGAAGAATTATTTTTAAATAGGAAATTAATGCAGGTTCCCAAGATTAAGCCAGAATTTGATGAAATAATTAAGGACAATATAACTGGTCAACGATTGATTTCAACAAGATTACGTGAGAAAAGTGAAGTTATACCCTCTTATATGAATGCTAACGAATATAATGAAGATAATGATAATGAAGATAATGACAATAATGATCATGAAATATTTTGTTCAAAATGTAATACAATTTGCCATATAGTATTTGTATTACATCCTAAACAAAATTTAATATTAAAACAGATAAATCTGGAGACACCTAACAGTGATGAATTTGATGTATACTGCCTGCATGATTATTCCAAATTATTGGATGATAACAACTTGGGAATAAAAACAAATAGGAATATAAATGATAGAATAGTCTACGTTAGAGATATCAACAAAATTAGAGAATTGCTTCGTAATGCTGGTAATAAAATAGATAAACTGACATTTTGATATTTTTCCAGATAAAATATTCTTCAGTTATATAATTCACATTTTCCTTTTATATCGCTGTGGGGAAGAGAAGTTCATAAGTTATAAATAATAGTTAATTATACAAATAAATCAATGTGATCCATAACTTTAACAGTAAAATCTGATTATAAAACTATATAATACCAAATTATCTTAACTTCAACATCATTTTCTTATTACTATGAAACAGTCTTAAGTTTGTTACATATTAATTACTACGCGAATTGATATCGATATTAAACTTTTGATATTACTAAGTAGACTTCAATCAAAAAGATGGCATTATTATAAATATAAGTAACCTCTTGGATTGGTTTTTGGTGTTGGAGTTATTAATAATTATTGAAATACATTGATAAAAGACAACAGAAAGGTTTTCAGCAATGGGTTTACTATCTTCAACTAATGTTTTGTATGCAAGAATAGCAGTGCTATTAACAATTGCATTTTTTTGCCTAAAAGATGTTAATAGCATTTTAGAAAATAGCTATTTTATTGTATTGACAGAAGCTATGGATTTACCAGCTTTAGTCTTATCTCCAATGAGTGCCCAGTTAGGGTTATTCTCTGTTTTGTTTAGTTTTGCTGCTATTCATGATTTAATACCACTGTTGGAAAATAACAAAATGTTCTTTCAATCAATAGTGCCATTTAGATTGATGGTATTCTTTATTTTGACAGCTACTTCTTATCTAAACATCAGTAACCTCTATTTGCATAATAATGCAGTATTCATCTATTCATTTGTCGAGGTATGGTTAAATTTCTTAATATTCAGTGCTTTAAGGGAAGAAAGAAATGAAGATTTTAAACGTAATCACCAGTTTATGTCAGATGCATACGAAGAAGAAGAAGAAGAAATTGAAATGGAACAAGATATCATGTTGACAACTGCTGAAGAAATAGAACAAATAGCTCTTGAAGAAGAGGAACAAGAAGAAGAAGAAGAAGAAGAAGAAGAAGAAGAAGAAGAAGACAACCAGGAATAAGCTGATTTAATTGATATAACCCATTACTGTATATTATATATAAGTATATTTAATTTCATCTAATAATGTGCATGAGTAATATTTGTTAAAGTCGACGAAACATTATATATTAAAAGAATTTTAAACTTTATTAGTTCAATATGTATATAAGTTTATTGACAATTATATGCTTTTTGTAGGTTTTAAAATATGGTAAGGAAATATTAGACATCTTTTCCGTTACAGAAATCCAAAGTCGCCAATGTCTGAAAAGTCAGATAGATCTTCCAGTAGCTCTTCATCCAAGAAATCATCTCTTTGCTCACTAGCACCTTTATTTTTCTTTTTATCTTCTGGATATCTCATACCTTTAACACTTTCATCATGTAGTTGATTAACAAATCTAATTCTTTCATCAAATATCTGTTGTGGTTCGTTGGTATCGTAAACATTTAATAACTCAGTAGTTTCAATGTAACCTTGATCTGTGTTTATTTTAGCTTCAATTACACCATCTCTGATTGACCTAGAAACCATATATTCCACTGTTTGTTCTGAATCTAAATGTAATTTCAAACAAATATCCTTCAAAGAGATTTTTTTATAAGTTAGAGAAATGATTCTAATACCTGTCTTGATTACATTTGATCTCAATCTTACACAAATTTGGTAGTTTCCATCGTTTATTAATTGTTGTTTGAAAGTCTTGATTGTTGATGTAAATTTCTGTAAGTTCCCTTGTCTTACTGCTTTTGAAATTTGGTAGTATGGTTCTAATGATTTTTGCATATTTTGCTGATTAAAAAATGATAGTTCTGGAATATCACCCATTAATAATTGAATAACACAATGTAATTTATTTGCTTGTTGTAAGAAACCTAAACTATTGTTTGTATTAGGAGCTTTTCTGATAGCTGCTATGATGTACTCATTGGCTGTTGAATAATTTAATTGAATAACATTAATTTTCGATAAGTAGAAATAGTAACGAGCTTCTAAAGGACTTGAAACATCACTACTTGGATAGTCGACCTTTGATACAAAATCCGCTGCTGCTTCGACGTCACCAATAGATAAATAACTTCTTAAAATAAATTAATCAACATTGCCTTTGTTTCGTTATCATGCTTTAAAGATGCAGTTCTTAAGAACTTAATCATTTCAACATGGATAACAGGATCTGATTTAACACCAAGTCTTTCTTGGCATATCACGATGTAAAACCATAGTTTTGAATTGATTAAATTTAATGTACGTTTATTGTAATAATTTAGAATTTTTGGAATAATAACATTTCTGTTAAATGTATCTAATTCATTTAATCTATTAGAATCTAAAAGATACAATTGAACAAAAAGATGAATAAAAGTGTTAACTTCCGGAGCCACATCAATTGTCTTCTCACTTGTAATTTGATAGAAAGAAGCAGGATAAGAACTTCTAATTTCATCAGAATTAGCAATGCTAATTTTTTGATTATCGTTAATATATTTTAACAATTGGTTTTTAAAAATTGAACTTTCAGGATATAAAATATAGACCAAAGCAGACAATGTCTCTTGACTCAAAGTCTGTTTCCTCAAAGTACTCAACTTCTGCAATGATTTCCAAACATAACGAAGATCTAAAGTACTAGTAGTCTTTGCCACAGTTCTCAAAACATGTAATAAGGTCTCAACCGATTGTTCTTCGGCATATTGGACATTGGAGTCAACCTCCATCATTGAATCATCTTGCATGTTGTAATAGTACGTGATTGACCTCTAAATTAGCACGCTAATCCCTTCTAATTAACCAACTTTGTTCGATCTGTGGGTGGCAAAATATCAAAACCTTTATTTTTTAATCCTGTCTTTTAAATACAATTTTAAAGATTTTTTGAAAAAACTGGAAAGATAGGGTTACCCGGGTTTTTCGTAATATCTTGAAGTCATGTGACTATTATGACAAATGATTTTATTGAGATAAATACAATGTCTCTCTACGGTCCAGAGGAACAGCGTCACAGTTCTAATTAAGTAAAAAGTTTATGCTTATCTATTATATTGCAACTTCACATATCTAGTATCGTAGTAGTAGTAGTAGTATATACATATATATTTTGGGATGTTTGAATCTTAAAATATGTCTAGGACAACTGGATCTAATAGAGTTTCCTTGATTCCATTTTTATTCATTGTTAATGAAATCTTGATGGTTTTGTGAAGGAAATAAAACTTAGTAGAACAATTATATAAACAGGATTACACACTTATAAATTCATTTTTTTACAAGTAGTGATCTGATTATTCCTTCTTCTTTTCGCTGACATATCCCAATGCAGTTAATCTTTCCGCTAGATGTGGATGAGAATAATGGTACTTTGAATACAATGGATCTACATTCATTGTAGCTAAGTTTTTCATTTCTAAAGAAATCAATGAACTGCATAATTTTTCTGAATGACCCAAATTCTTTGCGTATTGATCAGCTTCGTACTCATTATGTCTAGATAATAGATTAATAACGAATTGCATACCACATTCCATTGGGGTTAATAAATCATTAAACAACATAAAACCAATGATAATTGGGAATTGGCTGGTGAATACTTTTGAGGTACTTGACAATAATGATGAATCAACGTTACCGACTGAGAAACCGAAATCCTTGTAAAATGAGACATTACGGTAAACACCAGTGAATAATGTGAAAATGGCAAAGATATGAACTTGACTAAAGACTAACATTTCAATGATATGATTTTTTTTCCAATGACCAATTTCATGGGCTAACACTGCAGTAATTTCTTCGACAGAACTGACATTGACTAAAGTGTCATATAAGACAATTCTTTTACTAGTAAATGGTAAACCTGTGAAGTAAGCATTTGAATGAGAAGATCTTTTAGAACCATCGACAACATAGATCTCGTTAAGTGGGAAGTCAACTTTCTTAGCCAAATTTTCAATAGAAGTTTTCAATTCACCGTCTTCTAATGGGGTGAATTTATTGAACAATGGCATGATATAAGTTGGGATTACGGTCATTGCTAAAATTTGGATACCAAACATGAATAAACAAATGTACCATAAGAAATTGGTTTCGAATTTATCAAAAATTTTTAAAAATAGATAAAGAATTGGGCCACCAAGGGCAACACCTAATAAATTACCCTTAATTATATCAGTTAACCATAATTTGACAGTTTGTTTGTTAAAACCGAATTTTTCTTCTAAAACGAAATGTTGATAATAGGAAAGTGGCATATCGACAATAGTTGATAAACTTGATAAAACACATAAGAATACCAAACTTTGTGGGATAGCTGAAACAGCAACGAATCTTTCAGGTAAGTAATGGGTCAATTGGACACCAAAATTCCACAGACGAGGAAATAAATCATAATTGATGAAAATTAATTTCTGAGTTAAAGCAAAGATATCTGTGAAGATAGAAAACTTAGCCTTTGCCTTTGCATATTTTTCACTTTTTTCAAAAGTCTCATTATCAACTTCATTTTGTAACACAGGGGGCAATTTCTTACTTGATAAAACATTATATTGACGTAAAGTTAAATAAGATTCAAATGCAAATTGACCAACAGAAAACGCTATAATGATAGATTTCCAAGGAATATTTGGATTCTCAAACATTGTTTGTAAAGAATCAAACAGAGACATCTTTGTATGTTGTTGAGACGATCGTTACTAATGGATACTATAGACAGACTAATATAATTGATCTGAATTCAAAAACAATACAATACCACTACTTTTAGCACAAAGCACTTCACCAATACCTTGGAATAAACAGATGTAGATAGATTAAAGAGAACTTAGATATAAATATAAATATAAATATAAAATAGTCCAACGATTTATCAATTAAACAAATGTTAAACAGTATGTTCTTTTAGACAGTTTTGAAAAATGGCTTTGGTTCTTCTTCTTGTTTAATTTTTCACTTTTACTGTGAGACTGGAACATTTCGAAACTAAAAATCAGATGTTTCTACCGCAGTTTCTGTGATGAAATGTTAGAAATAGAGGTATATAACCAATTCCATCACCATCATCCATCCTGTGCTATGCTGTGCCTGTTTTAGTCCAATAGATAGGTTTCACTTGGTTGTCTATGTTGAAATAAGACCATTGTATATTATGTTGTACCTCTATCAAATACAATTGACTACTAACTAAACAAGAAGATGATAATTTTATTAAGTGTTGGCCCCATGTTGTTTAAAGAGAGGCTTTGGTTAATCTGAAGACAATAGAATGGTTGATTTTAAGGGCAATCATACATGTTTAAATATATAGATATATAGATATATAGATATATTTACAGTGCTTTGATCTCATATCAAAATTACGTCATTATTAGTTATTATGGGTTAAGGTTTTTCTGATAAGAATTTAGCATTCGAGCTGTTTGTATGGTTTGTAGATTTAGTACCATTCATTGCTCTCATTGCAATTTTGATCATTTTCGAAAACCAGTATATATTTAACAAGTTCAATGAGATGACAAAAACTAAGAACAATAGTGTTGGAATCGGTGGCATATTCGCCTTGACTCTTATAGTTTCCCTCACCAATGCAATGGTACAGCTTGTACCCCAAATTAGTCTGACAGTTAAGAAAATGAACATTAACACTAACCCATTAAGTGAATTAATCCATGTTGGTAAATTTAATGACACATTTTTCTCTTTTGAAATTTTTTTCAATGCACATAAGTACCAGTTGACATTGACAAATGGTGTGCTTGCTTCAAATAAAAGAAATGCACCGATCCATGGCTGGAATAATGGTTTAATTGTAATTGCAGACATATAAATTGAAATTATTGCATGTGCAAAAAATGCAGGTCCTGAAACTTCATAATGTAAAATACAAACGCAAATGTCCCAAATGAAATATCCCAAGGAAACTGCTGATGTTAATGTACATAGATGATCGTAATAATTGGATACATCTAAAGTCTTTGGCACTGTAACGATTAAAGGAGCTAATATTAGTGAAACGATACATTGAAACATTGAAACCGTATGTATATCAAAGTCGATCTTATCGGTTCTACTTGACAAATGTGTGTAATAGTGGCCAAATATAACTCTATTAACCACTGGTGAAACTATATTATAAATAATAGTATACGCAACAAAACTGTAAACTATTTCATGCAAATGTGATAGGTATAAACTATCAGACCCTGGAAACCAGGAGTATCCCATAAATGGGTCATCCATACCGATGACTTGTACCTCTTTAATCATCCAAAAATGATTCTTGAATGCTGGATCACTTGAGCTAAACAAAATAGATCAAAATATAGCTTATTGATGCAACTAAAAACTGTTAAAAATCAATCAGATCTCTTGAACAATGGATTAATTTATTCATCACATTCACATCACCTCTATTTATATCATCTGCTTTGGCTTCCTCCAAGTTTTAATTGAAAAACTGACCAAGATCTGAAAACCGAAATAAGAAGAGTATCGATGAGTGATTTTTGGCAGGATGATGATGATACAATGCAAACAAGAGAACCTAGCAAATGTTATGTTGCATCCACTCATCTATTCTTGAAGTTTATCCTATAGATGAACTCTAAGGGACTTTTGCATTTCTCGTATATATTTTAAGTTTGACTGGAATTTCAATTGGATTCAACATTCGTAATAATTGTTGAGTTGAGAAAGAACCAAAAACCTCGTTTCATATTCAATTTGGTACCTGTTGGTTACCTTACTTGGGTATATTGCTTGATCCGTTTGAATATAAGGAACGATCGTTTCAATTGGACTATAAGGTGGAGGGTACTCTTCACCCACCATCATCGAAATGATGCAGCTATTCTGATAGTGGTTGGTTTAAATTTGGTGGTTTCAGTGATTTTGTTGATTATATTAGTCCATTTTTACTTGTTCTTGTATGAGAAGATAGTAGGATATTTTCATAAATAATGTGATAAATAAAGTATTATCGTGGACATTCTTGATTTTGTTATCATAGGCTATATACGAACTGATATTGATCAAAATATATCTTGAACTTTCATCAATGGAACAATTTTTAATCAATTGGGTCTGATATGGAAGTGACTATATACTAATACATACATATATCGAGGTGTGTGTGTATGTTTATTTAAAGAAACGATGGAACTTGTTTCTTCATTATCATTCTTTATGATCTTGTTTTGGTGAAGAAGCCAATTTTTTTGCGATCTTGATCATCTTAGAGAACCAAAAGACGTTTAAGAAGTCCATCACTAAATTTAATAAGACACATGAAATACTCAGTAATACTGGTAATTCATCTCTAATCTTCCACATTTCAAATACCAATAATGTGATTGCAGTAAACCCCCAAACAATTCTTACAAGGAAGAATACCACCATTAGCAATATACCGTTCAATACGTTGAACCAGGTTGGAACTACTGCTTTTCCATCTTTAGCGGTTTTTGTCAATTGAATAATGTACCAATTGATGTTAACAAATGGTGTACTTGCTTCAAACAATAAAAATTTACCAATCCATGGTTGTGAGAATGGGATTAAAGTTATGCAGAAAACATAGAATGATATAATACCATGGATTAAGAATTGAAGACCATATAAATTGTAATAACGAATACAAACGATAATATCCCAAACAAAATAACCAATGGTAATTGCTGATACTAAAGAACAGTAAGGGTCATGGTATGTAACTATATTCAATCCAAGTGGTAAAGTTAGTACTGGAGCTAATAAGAATAATGAAATAGTACATTGTACCATAGATACACTGTGGATATCGAAATCAATTTTAAGTTTTTCACTTGTAATTGATGTATAATGATGACCAAAGATTTGTTTATTGGCAATTGGCACTATAAATGATGATAAAATTTGGTAAAACAAATATGAAAAGAATATTTCATGGAGATGAAGCAGAAATAGGTTGTCAGATTCAGGATACCATGAATATTGTAAAAAGGGATCAACTTCCATTATTCCAATTCTTATAATTTTAAAGTTTAATTTCTTTAGATGATTAATAGCAAATGTATAAAGACCAAATTTAGTTTAAAAGCAACTTAATAGCAATAGAAAACTAGTACCCTGTGGATTTGACGTATTTTAAAGGATAATAGAAATATCAATGCATTTATAACATCGATATCGAATACAGGAATTGATCTAAAAGTTGCCTTTAAAATCAGATCAAGGTTTTTATAAAATGACGTTTCGGTTGAATTTTTACGCTGTTAATATAAAGTACGCTAAATTTGTTGAAATTTCTAACAACAGGTAATTACTTAGGAGAGATGAGCTAAAAGTAAATGATAATAATATTAGATAGTTCTAGAAGTTCAATTGACCTGGAGGAAGTATTTTTGGATCATGGTCTAACGAATTTAGGTAATTGTTCTTGAACTTTGAGATTTGTCTGTCTACTTGTAGAAATTAGAAGGGATATTTGTCTTTCTGTGCTTAAATTTAGGTAATGAGAACAAAATGCAAATGCAAATGTACTTGAGGTAAGGAAATGAACCTGGGTCGACTTTTAAAGGATTGTAGAATTCTGTATAATCTATGTATTTAATTTTAATTTATTTTATCTCTTTTTTCTTTTTTTATTGGGGGGGCCAGGGGGGTACAGCAAGGATGAAGTGAATTCTTAATCTAATGAATGTAGATGAACTAACGCAATGGTTTTAATCTTTCATCTTCAACTTCAACTTAAAAGAAAAGAAACTTGAATTATTTAATATAATATTATACTATATATTATATTACTGTATATATAAATATTTTACATGTGATGATAAAATTAAGTTCTTGCTAAGCTATTAATTAAATGATTGAGATGAAACCTTAACATAAATTTGTATTCTTACAGTTTATCACTAATTCTTTTTTGGTTCTGGGTGTGTCTTACCATATGCTTTACATATATCATTAGCTAGATCACCGATACAGTTACGGGTTCTAAATATGACTGCATCAGATTCAGTATTGATTTCGAAATCTTCTCTCAACTGCTTTTCTTTGTAAATACCAAGGATAAAGTTCAGCATACCCTTCAAGGTGATAGTACGTGTCAAACTATCGGCTTCACTAACTGTGATAGT